CACACCCCATACAACCTGTTTCCACTCCATCAGATGAAATTCCACCTCCTTACTCAAGCCTGAGACTTGGAAGGCATTCCTCTCTCTTCCCTTTCTCATTTATCACCACCAGTCAATTAACTCCTGTGGATCATACCTTTCAGCTATCTCTTACTTATCTTTGCTTTTTTTTATTTGCCCATCTAATAAGTAAATCCCTTCCCCCCCCCACACGCCTCACAAGGGTCATGACCTCAGGGCCTTCATCTGTTCTTTATCTTTGAAACCCAGCTGAGCTGGTGGGATATACAACTAGCAGTGGATATAACATCTATTGAACTTTCCTGCCCCAGAGATAATAACTGTCACCAGTAGTCTTTTGCATGTAGAAATATTGTTTTATTTAGTTTTTACTGAAATGGGATAGTAGTGCATAGATTATTCAGCAACCTTATTTCACCTAATGTTCTGGAGATCTAAGGCAATACATTTCAATCTATTTGTTTCTTTCCACCTACAACATAGCATTTCACTTGTCATCTTTGTGAATTCATGTAATTATTCTACTATGGACGCTCATTTAATTAGATTTATTGATTGAAAGGCTATCTGTCCACGTTTGGTGGACACTGTCAATCTCCCCCCAAAAAGGCCATACATGAGGAATTGTTCTCCATACAGAGTCACTAACAAAGTCTAAGCCAACATTATCTCTAGTTGTGAGTCTAGCAACATCTCCAACGTGTTCCCGACCTACTTGCCACACTGCCTATTACAATTAAAAGAAAAAAAATCCCTTTTAAACCTTTCAGTAGCTTTCCAGATCCTTTGGGATAAGGTCTAAAATCATCTGCATGTATCGTTAAGTCCCACCGTCATGTGGTTCTTCCCGATCTTTCCTTTCCTGACTCAACCCCTACCATCTTTGTCTCCTTCCCTTGTCCCACTTACTTTCTCCACCGATAGTTTTCAAACTATTCCATGGGGAATCCCTGAAAATATGTAAAGATGTGGTGATGAGTAGTTCTAAAGGACCCGACTTTCAGATGCTTAACTTTCCTGAAACTGATCTGCCTATGAAGACTCCTGGGAGTCCAGATCCACCTTGCATTTCACAATGGTCCCCACCCACTTGGTCCACCTCAAATCTTAACTACATTGTACTGCACTGCAGAGGTGGAAAGGTGTAATGAACTCGAGGACACCAAAAGATAATTTAAAATTTATTTTAATTAAGTCATCATTAAGACAGGTGTTGTCAATAAAACTTTATTTACAATAATTATCAGACTTTGTGATACACACTGATTCACTGTATATTGCTAACAACAGCAAGACCTAATCCAGGAGAAATTTTTACTTTTAGATACTTGATGATAGTCTGAGCAATAAAAGACTTCGAATCATAAAAGGATATTCCATTAAGTTAAATTCTGTGGTACAAGTGGAATGAAATGTTTTCAAGGAGAAAAAGAAAGGATCAATGTAAACTTCTAAGTGGTAAAAAACCTTAAGTATTTAAACAGATGATGATGGGTAATAAAATCGCCATGGTATTCATAATGCATTCAGACCATTTAAAAGATTTCTGTAATCACTTCATTTTTAAAATGTCGTAACTCATCAGAACTTACTTTTGTAACTAAACTTACGATAAGAACAATTTTAGCTATTAACTTAAAAATGTGTGCGGGAAATACAGTTCTTTTAGGGGGCATCCAATTTTTTTTTTTTAAGTGTGGCCCACTCCATGGGGCTCCTGGGTGGCTCGTTAGGTTAAGTGTCTGCCTTTGGCTCAGGTCCCGATCTCAGGGTCCTGGGGTGGAGCTGCTCAGCGGGGAGTCTGCTGCTCCCTCTCCCTCTGCCCTCTCCCCACCCCCAGCTTGTAAGCACACTCTCTCAATAAAATTAAAAAAAAAAATAAAAAAAGCGTGGCCCATTCGAATGCTCCACACACGGCTTTTCAGTGCTCGGGTACACTGCGCTCTCAGCTTCCGTCCTCAGGATACGTTCTCACTTGGGAGGTTCTTCCTCTTCCTCTAGCTGTCGCCTAGCTAACTCCACCATTAAGTTTCATTTTAAGTGTCACTCTGAGAAGGGTTCTTAGTACCCAGACTAAATGAAATCTCCTTAATACATGTTCCCATAGTACTATGCATTTCCTCTTTCTGTAAAACTTACCCCACGCGTAACCCCTCACCACACTTAAGCACCAGAAAGGCACAAAGAGAAACCAGTCTCTTCACTGTTCTATCCCAGCGCTGGTGTATGCAGGCCCCGGGAGCTGTACTTCTCTAAAGAACCATTTTTCTAGAGTGGTAGAAAAGGAAGTCAGATTGCGAGGGATTTAAACAATGTAGGAGGTAAGGATGTAGAAGCAGAGAATGAGGGTTGATTATAGCTTAAGAAGGGAGTAAGTGAGCAGAGGGGAGAGTGAATCTGCCGCTGCTACTAGGAAGAGAGAAGAGCACAGGACTAACCAGGTAGGCAGGGCTGGGTTTGGATATAAATGGGGACAAGAGAAACGAAAGCTCTCAGTGTTTCCACGCCACAGAACTCTACCGCTTGGTGATGAACAGTCACTGGGGCGTAATTCATGGAAAGCAACATATTTCCATACATCACACATATTTATTGACGTCATACATACAGATTGTAATGTGAACACTGAGCCTGCTTTATCTCTTCATACATTTTCTTTTCTTTAAATTTTTATTGTTATGTTAATCACCATACATTACGTCATTAGTTTTTGATGTAGTGTTCCATGATTGTTTGCATATAACACCCAGTGCTCCATGCAGAATGTGCCCTCTTTAATACCCAGCACCAGGATAACCCCCCCCCCCCACCCCCTCCCCTCTAGAACCCTCAGCTTGTTTCTCAGAGTCCATCGTCTCTCCTGGTTCGTCTCCCCCTCCGACTTACTCCCCTTCCTTCTTCCCCTCCTGCTAACTTCTTTTTTTTTCTTAACATATGTTGCATTATTTGTTTCAGAAGTACAGATCTGTGACTCAACAGTCTTGCACAATTCACAGCGCTCACCATAGCACATACCCTCCCCAATGTCTATCACCCAGCCACCCCCTCCCTCCCACCCCCCACCACTCCAGTAACACTCAGTTTGTTTCCTGAGATTAAGAATTCCTCATATCAGTGAGGTCATGTGATACATGTCTTTCTCTGATTGACTTATTTCACTCAGCATAACACCCTCCAGTTCCATCCACGTCGTTCATGCATTTTCTTCTAACTGTAGGGATGTCCGGTCTCAATCCAAGGAAGCATGAGTGGTACTGGAGATGCACACTAGCCACACCCATGACTTTTGCCCTCCAAAAAGAAATCTAGTTTTTCTCACAGGCCATTACTTTCCAGAGAAAGAGAGGGGAAACCCTGTTCAAAGTCTTTCTTTTGTGTAATGCTTCCTGTTGGCAATACACTTGTCCAAATACTTGTTCCTTGAGAACTCTATTCACCTGGCTTTGTCTCCTAAGATAACCATCTACCAATCATGTTACATGATGTCAATCACATATAGTCACAGAAAGTGGCCACTGTCCTGGCCCTTATTAGGATTTTCCATTAAAATGGCTCCCTGCATAAAGCTACCCCACAGGCTTCTGTTAAGAAAAAAAATTTTTTTTGATGAAAAAGAAATTTTTTTCACTTAAAGCATGTGGCATTCTTTGGAAGTGCAATCGTCCCCAGAAAAGGTTACACGTTAAACCACTTTTCCTGAAGCCAAAGGGCAGTAGAAGGATCCAGAAGGTCTCTGGGTCTGTTTCTACATCAATAAAACAACTGCCCCGCCTTCCTAGATTTTTGTGAAGGTCACAAAAGTATGTCAGTACTTTACATATTCTATATGTACAGCCCTTTTAAGTACTACCCCCAAAATGAGGCTCCTTATTAAAACAAAATGGGAAGACAGAGACCCAGGCGCTGAGGAAGTGAAGCAAGAGTGAATCCGAAAGGTCTGACAAAGTGTGGAAAGCACCTCGTGAAAGGGCTGTCCAGCTGGGCGCTAACACGCAAGTCCCGTCACTACCGTGATGGAAGAAGCGGCCTGATCCTGAACCACCCTAGTGGCGGGGGAAGGGAAGGGAAGGGAGCGAGTCCCGCACACTCGCTGGGGAGAAGGGGAAGAAGCGGGGAAGGCGGACCGTGTGGGAGCCACCCAGGGAAGGAGGGGACGCCTCTCGCCGAGCCTAGCCCTGGGTAGATAACCCGGGGCGGAGCTCTGATAGCGCTTATCACACCCTACCGTACCGGTCCAGGTTTGTCGTTTTGGCCTTCCCAAACTAAGCTTGGCAAATATTTGCTGAAGGCGTGAGTCCTCCTGACTGGAGACAGCAAAGTCTGCAGCACATCTGAGACACACGGCATCCCGGGGACCAGGGGCCCACAGAGCGTGCGAGCAGAACGTGGGGCCTGCACTCCAAACACCCCGGGCCCAGAAACCACCTGACGGGACCCAAGACTACCCGGGCCCCCTCCTTCGGCCCGCACGCACCTTCACCCAGGGGGCCTGCCAGTCGCCACCTTCCTTCCCGCGTCTGCAGCGAGACTAAGCTTTGGAGCATGCGTAGCTGACAGACCCTGGCTGGCCGCGCGTCCGGTCGGCAGTTGCGCTTCAACTGTCAGCGCATTCGAGCAATCAGAGGATGTGTTAATTTCATGGAATCCCGCCCCCCACGGGGGACTATGGCAACCGAAGGCCAATCAGGCGGCGTGTTGTTGCCGCGGAGCCCCGCCCCCGTCAGGGGCGCTGGGTGACGGGCGAGGGTCAAGGGGTGTAAACGTCTCTGAGCTGCTGAGCCTCGGAGGGCCGCGGCATCCCCTTGCCCCGCGGCCGCGAGCAGCGCGCCCGACCCCACACTCGTGGGCCCGCCCAGCGTCAGGAGGCGGCGCGGCCCATGCGGCTGGGGGCGGAGGCCGGAGCGGGCACGGGCCGGGCGTCTCAGGTGCAGCTGGCTGCCCGGAGAGGTGAGGGGGCGGCGGCGGGGCCCGGCCCGGCCCCGTGATTGGCCGCTGGCTGAGGGCAGCGGGACGGCCTGGAGGCGTCCCGGGCGGGGAGCAGCCGGCGGAGCCTTCCGCACGCGGCCCCGGCAAGATGCTGCTGTCCCTGGTGCTCCACATGTACTCGATGCGCTGCGTGCTGCCGGCCGCCGTGCTCCTGGGCACTGCCCCCACCTACGTGCTGGCCTGGGGGGCCTGGCGGCTGCTCTCCGCCTTCCTGCCCTCCCGCCTCTACCAGGCGGTGGACGACCGGCTCTACTGCATCTATCAGAGCATGGTGCTCTTCTTCTTCGAGAACTACACCGGCGTGCAGGTGAGGGGCACTGCCCGCCCTCCGCTCCCATCTGCCGCCCCCGCCTCCCCGCTCTCCACCCGGGTCCCCGCTGGGAACCATGCACCCCGCGCCCCGCCCCCCCACCCCAGGGTACTTTAGGATCGTTCAGCTCTGCGTGGCAGATCCGGCCCCAAGAACACGTGCCATCACCCTGTCCCCCCACGGCGAGGGAAGTTTCACGTTCTTAGGTAGGGTTTGGTCCGATACTTCCTTGCAGGTACCCCAAGATCGCTAGGAAGCTGTGGTTGTGTTGTTCTCAGGCCACAAGTTGGATCATCCGCCCCGCTCTCCCCATCTTTTGTAACTACCTGTCTCGGTGCTTTGCTAAGTAGGTGCAGATGAACACTTAAGTAGGGCAAGCAGTTGACAAGTTTTTGGCGTTTGGTCTCAGAAGATTGGTAATGTTTGAAGTCAAAAGGGAGCTTTTAAAAAATCGGAGACCTCTTGAAACAGATGAATGTTACTACTTGGACAATAAGTACAACTTTGTTTTGCATTCTTCCCCAGTATAAGTGAAAGCTGGATGAGGAAATTAATACATTTGTTACTGTAGAAGCCTTACCGTAGATAAAATTCTTGCCAACTTATACTAGGCTCAAATGTGCGGCTAATTTTTTGTCTGATGACTTTCTGTTACTTTTTCTGTAGAGACTGGATCTGCAGATTAAATTTGTAAAAAAAAAAAAAAAGAAAAGAAAAGAAAAGAAAAGTAGAAGACCCCCTTTAGTTATTTGAAGTTTCTTTTACAAAAATAACAATTGCGAATTTTCCTTTTATTTCCCAATTTGAATAAAAGAGCTTGACTCTTGGTCATTCCTTATATCCAATTAGTCCTCTTTTTTTTCTTTTTTCTTTTCTTTTCTTAGTCGGGGTTTGGTTGAAGGGAAAGTGGGAGGATTTGGGTTTTCTCTTTTTGTTTTTTTTTTTTTTCCTCGAGCAGCTGTTTTCACCCTGTTGTCAACCAGCTACTATTTTCAGTTTGCAGTTGCACTGCTGTGGATCCCTGATGACTCTGAGTTTGCCCCAGTTGGAGGTTGTTTGGGGGAAGGGAAGTAGGAGAAGCCAGGGCCTACATTTAAACCGGCGTCTGTAAGTGCTTCCTAGAAAAGAAAGATTGCTTTTCCAGATCATGGTTTCCTGTTAATTGACTTTTAAAATGGGCTTCATTTAAAATTTTCACTAATTCAGGTCAATCGTTTTGCCCCCTTTGCTCTTATTTCACTGCCTTTGTCTAAATGTATGGTTTTGTCATGATTAAATATTTGATTTCACATCAGATGACAGCTGACCTGGACTAGGATATAGACAGAACATAGGACAGAGTCAGTTACCTTTTAGGAAAACAATACTACCTCTGGTGGAATATTTCATTTTTGTTCAAAGAATATAGCATGTTCCCTGCAATATAATGTATAATATACCAGTGAAGTACTATGTGTTTAGCAAGTTTCTTATTTTAAAAATGATTGTAAAATTTCAGTGTTTCTAAATTGTATGTTTTACCTTATACCCTGTTCAGTGTAGACCTCCAGTTTAATTTTTGAGTTCTCAGCACATGGTTTTTTAAAAACTTGAATCTGTTGATCGTCAGTGGACAGTGAGTTCCAGGATTCCTAACAAACTTTAAAGAACACACATTAAATAGAACTTTGAATTACACTTGAGGGCCATCAGACATCCTTTTATAAATGCATGAGTGACAATATCCAGGATAATAAAGGAAAGGGAATTTATAAGGACATTCTGTCACCTTATTCTTAGTTTTACTTACTAGTTTTCATCAGTGACTTTGTCATTGTAAAGTTTTGATTAACATTTTGTCTTGTTTTTCTTATTTTGCTAGGGGACTTTTTTTTTCTTGAATTGTTTTTCACCTCTAATTTGCAAACAGAGATGATCCTCATCTTTGTTCTGTATAAAAGAATGTTGATTCATTTCTCAAGAAGTGTTAGTAATTTAAGTTTTTGGATGAAAGGAAGTTCACCATTAAATTATATACATTGTAGAGTTATATTTAAATTAGAATTTTTTCCACCCCCTTCCATTTGGTGACCACCAGTTTGATCTCTGTATTTATGGGTTTCTTTTTTGTTTTGTTTTTTAGATAACACATATAAAGTGAAACCGAATGGTATTTGTCTGACTTATTTCACTTAGCAACCTTCTAGATCCATCCATGTTGTCTCTGATGCCAAGATCATTCCTTTTTATGGCTGGGTGATATTCCTGTGTGTGTGTGTGTGTGTGTGTGTGTGTGTGTGTGTGTAGCACGTCTTCTTCATCTATCAGTGGACACTTAAGTTGCTTCCATATCTCAGCTATTGTGAACAATGCTGCAGTAAACAGACGGGTACATGTATATCTTTTTGATTAGTGTTTTTGTTTTCTTTGGATAAATACCCAATAGTGGAATTACTGGATCAGGTAGCATTTCTATTTTTAATTTTTTGAGGAACCTCCACAGTGGCTGCACCAATTTACGTTTCCACCAGCAGTGCATGAGGGTTCCCTTTTCTCCACATCCTTTCTAAATGTCTTTCTGATACTAACCATTCTGACAGGTGTAAGGTGATAACTTATGGTTTTGATTTGCATTTGCCTGTTGATTAGTGATGTTGAACATAAATTAGAATTTTTTTAAATGAAATTTTTAATGCTTTTTAATTCTAGGTTTTAAAAAAGAAATGGCTCATAGTAGTGTAACAGAATTTTTTTTATGTATATAATTTTTAAGCTGAAGAGAAGTAGGTCCATGAAGTTGATGATCTGTGTTTGGCAGGTAAGCCAGTTCATCATGTATACTTGAATGTTCCATTGGATTCTAGCTAAATATCTGTTCCTTCCTATTTCCACTACTTTATTTTCACACGCATTTTTGACACAGAGCATTTCAATCGCTGTTGCTAAAATTTTCGTTTATTTTTTTAGGTTCTAGAATTTTATTAGTACTGAAACAAAAAAGGGTACCTTCACCATTTACTTTGGAATAAGCAATAAGGATTTTAAAAGTCTCATTTATCTCTCTTAATTTGAGACCCATTGAAAATCAACACACACCTCTTTATTATTTTGGGGCACATGGATTCAAATAACTGTTTCTTTTCGATTGCTGCCATAACAAATCACCTCAAATTTAGTGGCTTAAAACAAGAGAAATTTATTCTTACAGTTCTAGAGGCCAAATGTCTGAAATCGAGGTGTTTGTTGGCCTATACTCCCTCTTGAGGCTCTAGGGCAGTCTTTTCTTTGGCTCTTTCAGCTTCCGGTGGCTGTGGGCATTCCTTGACTTGTAGCCATATAATCCACAATCTGCTTCTGTGATCTCATTTCCTCCTCCTCTTCTGCCTGTGTCGGATCCCCTTCTGCCTTTCTTTTATAAGGACACTTGTCATTGGGTTTAGGGCCCACTCAGATAATCCAGGATGAGCTCCCCAAATCAGAATCCTTAGCCCAAGACCCTTTCCCCAAGTAAGGTCACATTCATAGGTTACAGGCTTAAGACGTGGACGGTCTTTTGTGGGGGTCACCATTCAACCTAGTAGTAACTTAGTCCTGCTTATTCTTGGAGCTGGAGTTTAAGGAAAACTTGTGGGAAGGTAAAAAGAAAGAGGGGCATAACTGGCAGAGGCAGCAGTGAGGATTCCTGCAGGATGGACGGTGATGCAGTTACTATAACCTCGAAGTGAGGGGAAATCAGATTTACCATAATTTCTATCGTAGGATGCTGTCCTGAATGTTGAGATTTCTGCATAAACAATAATTGTAATAGTTATGATAGGTAATGAAAAATCTTAACATGTTGTTTTGGAAGCTGTTAAAAGTTAATGTTTTTTTTTTTTTCTAAATATCAGAATTCCTTTCTCATTATTTTCAAAAGAAAAAGTTCTCTTTTTTTCCTCCTTCCAATGGAATGAACTAAAAACTGATCATTGATACTTGCAGGGCAAAAATATCTAGTGATATAATACATGCCTCCTTATTAACATCTAATAAATATTTTAATCAGATTTTTTTCCTGCTTAAATCCTTTTGTAACACTTGGAATTTACTTTAAAATGTATTTTACATTAATGGCCCTATCTTCTAATTTGCTCTTTCTCAAATGCTAACACGATAGAACAACAAAATGTGGACTTTGAGAGAAGATAAATTTAGTTTTTCAACTGACCTACTTCAAGTATAAAATAGTTCAAAAAGCACTGGAAACAAGATAACAGAATTTAAGCCTAAGATTTTGATTTTTTTTAATATGTTCAGTTAGAATACTCTTAACTTCTCTAATAATTCATACTTTTAAATGAAACATTTTTTCAAGTTCCTCAGGAACAACCAAGGCATTCATATCTGGAGACATCTCGTTTATAACTGGTTCTTTCTATAGCACTGTTTCATCAAACATAGTCCTAGACTCTCAGTTAAATTTGTATTCTGTATCTTGTGGCTAAAGGCAGCTAAACTGTTCGAATAAAACATGTTTATTTAGAATGGGAGAAGGGACCTTACGGGTCCACCTCCTTTTTACCACATCTGGATTCTGTCTGCATTTCTGCTAAAACGTTGCCCAGAGTCTTCTTGAATATCAGTAGTCCTAAAGAGAATATAAATACTTTGTATCCTTTATTTCCTTTTTCTCTGCTTATTTATCATCTATGTGAAGACCTTAAAAGACCTGCGATTACTTCCTTCAGTTTAGCTGGGGCAAGACAGAGCCAGGCAGATTTGGTTGTGCTTCTGCATGTGTGTGTTTAAGAATGACAACAGCCTTTCATAGAGGAAATTAATTTCTCAAATCAGATAGTATTCCAGTCTAACACATTTTAAGTCTGGCCAGAGAATAGACTTATAGGAAAATTTTAGAGAACTGTAATTAGAACCTTGTTTTTATACATTCGATAAATAAAAATCCTTGATTGAGCAAGCAGTTTTTTTTTTTTTTTTGGTTGCATTGGTGTAAGATTCCTTTTAATGTCTTATTTTTC